TAATTGTTGGTCAGCCCACATTAGGAAAAACAAATGACCAGGTGTGCTAGCAGTTGACGAGGCCACCCACGATCGAGGGTATCCTCAATTGGTTGTTTAGGCGCCGACGCACACACGCTCGCTTCGCGTAGCCGCCGGGAAGATCGACGAGGGGATCTGTACAAACGGATCAGCGCCGGCGCATATGGAGAATAATCCTCTGATGAGTCTCTCCTTGATTCCTTTCTTGATGAACTGATCCACATCTAGAGCGCTCCAGGAGACCAAGACTTTTTTGCTTTAGATGGAATTAATTTAGGGATGCATTGATTCTATCATCTTAGTTTCAAATTTAACCATTACGAAAAGACACCACGACTCAAGCCAGATCTAAGGATCGACTCATGTCTAGGCTATCTGGCAAGTTATTATTATTATTATTATTAGATTTGCACAAACTGTTAGATGCTACTCCCTCCGTCTGAAAATACTTATCATCAAAATGAATAAAAAGAGATGTATCTAAAACTAAAATACATCTAGATACATCTCCTTTTATCCGTTTTGATGACAAGTATTTCCGGACGGACTGAGTAATTTGCATAACAAGCTAAAATCTGAAGCGCACCATAGAAGATTTTCGACTTTATTCTATGTGTTTCAGGTGTAAGAGCCACGAGCCAAATTCAAACTAATGAAAAAACAACAACATTTTTCTAATTGAAAATACATATTATCTTATGCTCCTCTTAGTATGGTCATTGTCAAAAAAAAATCTTCATTGTCTTCGTCACCCCCTATGGTCAAATCCTGACTCCGCCCCTGATCTGAATGAGATGTAGAGGCAAAGTATGACTAAACGCGAAAGTTCAGAAGCCCCCGCAGCGGCGAATAATCATCAGTCCGCGTAATATGAGGCTATTTTGTTTCTTAAAGGACGATGTAGTTACTGATCATCGGGGGGAGGCAGACACTGACAGACAAAGCCGGTGGCGATCAATGGGACTGCGACGCTGGTCTCTCTCGCCCAATTCAGAAATAAACTGGAGCAGGCCCCGACGGAGCAATCCGTGCCCGTCACAACACAACGCAGGCCATGTTCATGTACGTACGAAGCACCCGTCCCATCACATGAACCATCAAACCAACTTCGGCAGCTTAATCAATTCGGCCTTGAAAGAGTCCATTCCATTCCATTGCATAGTATATATATATATATACTACAGTATTATATTACAGTTGTGTGGGGTGTGGCTGTTGACGACGACGACGATAGTTGGCCAAGCTGGTCCAATCAAACAAATTAATCATAAGTACACTTTATCATTAATTAATTAATTACCAGGGAGAAAAGAGAGAAAAAACGAAGAAGAAGAAGAAGAAAATGAAAATGATACAGCTGTATGTATTTATAGTTCTTGGATGCCAGAGTTGCTCTGCCATGTCCCGTCCTCCTCCTACTAGGGCTGGCATCTGCTCTTGCATGCAGGGTAATCGTTATTGTAACCTTTCTCACGGGCCATTGATCGCCTCCTCTCTTCCTCCTCCTCCTGTGCACCGTTGCTGCTGACTGGTGATCGCTGTAGTTGAAGTAGTAGTAGCAGTAGTAGGGTTGTACATGTGGTGAGGTAGAGAGGGAGAGGCAGAGAGGCAGAGGCTAGTCCTGGGCGGCGCTCCGCCAGATGGCCTCGAGCTCGGCGGCGAAGAGCTTCTCCTGGCCGACGACGATGGTGATGTGGTCCTTGTTGTCGTAGACGGTGACGCGGGCGCGGGGCACCCTGGCGCCGACGGCGAGGGTGCACTCCACGGGGAGCAGCTCGTCGTCGCGGCCGTGGAAGAGCGCCACCTTGCAGCTGAGCTGGCCGGCGACCACGTCCAGGTAGGCGCCCATCTTGCTGGCGCTGAGGCACATGATGTTGTGCAGGGTGTGCCACGCCGCGTTGTGGGTGTGGCACATGAACGCCTCGATCAGGAACGTCCGCATCCTGCAACCCATCCATACATCAACACACACACGCACAGTACAGTCAGTTAGCGCCCGGCATTCACTCGCTCAGACCATATATGGATCGTGCATGTGCCGGCGAGCAACGGTACAGCGCTGCCACTAATGGAAAGCGAGAAGAAAAATCTTTGCTTTGCCCCGTGCTCGCATCGCCTGCCATGGTGCCGTTCTGGTTGCAGCGCATGTGATACAACCATAAGTAGAACCCGTTACTGCTGCACTCACTCCGTCCACTTGTAGCTTTGCCTTCCTGCTGGACCATGCACGTATGGCCCTATCATGCGTGTGTACTTGCGCAATCCAGTAATAAAAATTGCGACTTGGAGCCAAACTTAACTCCCTAGATCTCAGTCAGTCATGCATGCATGCATATGGGTGAGACGCTCATTCATTGCCCCTACACTGTCCTCCACTGACCTAGCTTTCAGGTTACCTTCAGTACAGTGCAGTGGTATAGCACGCGCCAGCAGAGGAGGGAGTATGTATTATTTGCCCTGGCTCAGCAGTTATTGGTGAATTGCAAAGCTAGGCAAGTGGGTCATGAGGCCGGCCATGTGACCAGTTCGTCCTAGCTGGCTAGTCGCCGGCCAAATATACGTATGATCATACGTACAAGACTTTGAGACTCACACACACCATCTTTTATAACGTACAGTATGCACAAGTGCATGATGAGACAATGAGAGGTACATCTTTCTTCGAAAAACAGTGAGAGGTATACATGAGGATAGCATGCAAGCTGTGCAGAGCCATGAATACCTTGTACTGGTATTGTACACAGGCTTGATTAATTTGGGCGTACGTAGCAGCAAGCAAGCATGCATGCGGTGTCCATGTAGCCACTAGCTAGGCTAAATAAGGGAAAGGAGGAGGAGGCCTTTCGTGTGCCAAGACATGCGGTTTGGTCGTGTTAGGTCCGCCCATCGACCGATCGGTCGACCGCACGACTCCACAACCGAAGCAATTCAAGGCACACACCATATGTCTACGTACCACTAGCACCAGCAGCTAGCTAGCTAGCTAGCTGGGCACTCACCGTCGTCGACACGACACGTCCCCCACCCCGCGCACATGCACAGCTACACAACATGCACCCCCAGCCCGTCACGTACGTGGCCACGCATCGAATCAACCATGAACTTACTTCACTTCACTTTAGCACCCGCACTCCACTACATACTCTTTGCGAGCAAAACGAGACGGCAAAAACGAATTAGATATACTCCCTCTGTTCGGAAATACTTGTCGGAGAAATGGATGTATCTAGACGTATTTTAATTTTAGATACATCCATTTTTCTTCATTTCTCCGACGAGAATTTTCGGACGGAGGGAGTATATAGGAGTATTATGGTATATCACATTAATCACGTTAGACTTGGCCGGCGCATCAGCTTCTGTGAGAGAGAACGACGCTCTTTTCTCGTTACTCACATTAGATTAGATTAGAATAGAGTGATCAAGCATATATTCTTCTTCTTCTTCTTTTTGGCGTGTGGGAAAACGAGGCATATACTGTTTCCGTGAAGCAGCTGACCAGCTGTTTTTCTCAACCAGAAAACACGAGGAGGGCAGAGGGTGTAACTGCGAGGACAGAACAGTAGCAAAAGAGGATGAAGCAACGGTGGGTGAGTGTACCGGCCGAAGACTTTTTCCGCGGCCCGTCTTGTTCCGTGGCGCGTAAGTGCGGGTCATGGCGCGCGGGGCCCGTCTGGCTGCCGTTTATGGCCGGGTGGTGAGCCACCGCCAATCTAGGCGCCGGCTGCGCGCTCACCTACGTGCACGACTGCCGCGCCCGAGCCCGAATTGCATGCACGCATCCATCCATCCTCCACACGACCACACGTACTACCACGCTCCCACCCACCCACCCACACCAGGCCACCACGTACCACTCCTGCTGCCGCTACTGTACCCAGCGTCGCGCACGGAGAAAACGCATGGTGATCATCAGGGTGCACGACGACTTGACACCCGGATCAGCCGGAATGGCGGGTGCCAATGAATTCCGGCCGGACGAACGAACGCTACGGCATGCACCTACTGTTGCTACCGAACAACATTTGGGGGCGATCATTTAAGGGAAGATAGCGCGCGGCGGCGACAGCGACCACCTTGGCCCGCCGTCTCGCCGTCGCCGTCGTCCCCTCGCATAGCCTGTCTGCTCCATCATTTTTAAAGACAAATTCTGGACGTCCCTGCAGCAGAAGGGGGTATAGTGTACGTACGAATGCAGAAAAAAAGGGCGTGGGATGAGAGGGAGACTCGTGGCGCCATGAATGGGGTCGACAGCTGTGGCTCATCCGCCAGTCTCGCGCCAATTCAATGCCGCAGCAATGCGGTTTCTTTCAAAGCAAATTGTTTTCACTTCAAAATTACTTATCGGCGTGTGCGCGCGCGTGTGTGGGTGTTCCCTGTGCACACGGCGACCGTTTGGGCGTGGGGCACGTCTGTCTAGTTCTAGTGCAGTTACTTATCGTGACTGGGTTGTCACGGGACCGGCCGAGGAACATGCAGGCCAGGACAGGCAGGTCAGGTGGTTGGGAAATATGTATATAGAGTGTGTGTTGCCACTGGGAAAAGAAGAGGAGGAAAATATGCTATGCTACACGAGCGTTGTTGTTTATATAGTAAAGTAAAGTTAAAATAATAAGATAATATATGCGGTTGGCTCACCTGTTTCTGGTGAGGATCCTGAAGAGCCTGTTCCAGACCCGGTGGTGCCTGCAGATGGTGAGGCAGATGGTCCGGCTCACGTGCTCGTACCAGCACGCCATCGACGCCCCGAACGCGATCGGCGGCCACACCCGCCGCGGCGCCACCCGCCGCATCACGTACTGCGTCGCCGCCCCCGCCTCCTCCGCCGGCACCGGGAAATACGGCTGCACCACCATCCATCACACAGACAAAAACCATTACTACCATACACTTTTGTTCGTGTAAAAACGGACACGGTTGATGGAATTTTTACTACTACTACAAAATGCGCAGAGTTTGTTAGCGCGGGTGATTCGCATGCCGAGTGACTTCAATTGTTACGTGATCGCAGGCCACTCGAGTATTATGGCAGTCCACTAATGGAAGTTGGTCGGCAGGGCCGGAGGGGGAGACGGAGTTCGGCGATTAAATGCATGGCAAAGTTCATGCACTTCGTATGCGCAGCTAGCAAGGCTGGTGGTGGACACGGCACAGGCACTGCCACTGGCACACACGCATAGTGGCTGGGAAACGTAGACGTACCGGGGCGAGGAGCGTGAGGGACTTGACGGCGCCGGGGTACTTGACGGCGAGCGCGAGGGCGAGGACGGAGCCGAGGGAGTGCGCCACGACGTGGAAGGTCTTGAGGCGGTAGCGCTGGAGCACGGAGCGCTCGATCATCTCCAGGTGCTCCCGCAGCGTGTACAGCGAGTCCGCCGGCTTGGGGCTCCGCCCGAACCCCAGCAGGTCCACGGCGAACATCCGGTACCGCCCGCGCGCCGCCGGGCTGAACGCCGGGAACACCGTCTCCGTCCAGAACACCGAGGAGGAGATGAAGCCGTGGATGAAGATGACCGCCTCCTGCTCGCCGGCCCCGGCCCCCGGAGGCGGCGGGGCCTGCACGTGCACGTAGAGGTGGGAGGCGCGCGAGCCGGTGCTCCACGAGTGGCACATCTTGCAGTCGCAGTCGGACCAGCAGGGCGCCTGCCGCGGCGGGCGCGGCGCCCGGTCGATCTTGCCGCGGATGAGCTCCGCGATGGCCGGGCTCACGGTCAGCGCCGGCGCGATGGGGCCCGGCTTCCGCGTGGCGTCCGAGAGGAGAGACGCGCGCACGTAGAGCGTGTCCGACACGTCCTCCAGCTGCATCTTGTTGGCCGACGACGACGACAGCCGCACCACCTTCGGCCCCGCCGTCCCAGCCGCCGCCCGCGGGGCCACGAACGACAGCGCCCCCTTCGCGCCCGTTGCTACGCCGCCGCCTCCGCCGTCCTCGCGCGCCGCGGCCGAGCAGTAGCAGGGCTTCCACTCGGCCTCCACGGCGTAGTCCACCACCTTGTACACGAGGCAGAGCACCATGTCCAGCACGTCGAGGAAGGAGAACACCACGAAGCTCACCACGCAGTTGAGCGCGCGCCCCGCCGCCAGCAGCAGCGCGACGAGCGACACCCTGCACTCCCCGGCCCTGCCCCCGGCCGCCGCGCCCATGGCCGCCGCCTTCTCCTGCCACACGCACGTGGCAATGTGCATTGCCGCCCGGCCGTTCCTCCTCGACCGCCCTCACGTCCCGGTGCGTGCGTGCGTGGGCGCGCGCGCCGGCCGCTGGGGAAGAAGCTGGCACTGGCAGGCGGGGTGGGTGCGCTACCGGGAGTAGCTGACTGTGGCTGGAGCAGAGGAGTGAGACGGGCGAGGCTTTTGTAAGAGCAAACGGGCAGCGCGCCTACGGAAAAACAAACCGCATTTAAGCGCGGTGGGAGCGAAGCGGAGGCGGCCGGTTCTCCTCTACACTTTGTATTTTTTTGTGGGCGTTTGGGCAAAGGGTGTGGTGGGGTTAAATAGAGTGTGGGGTTGCATTGGGCAAGCTCGCGAGCAACACCAACGCGTGTCGCCGGTGATCACTGATTACACCGACGAAAGCTACGGGTCATTTCCATCCCGGCCGTGCATTCAATCGAGTTTCATGGGGAGGGCTCACTTACAGTTACGGGTCATGTGTGTATATGCTCCATGCTTTGGGTTAACTCGCATTTATTAGCTCATGGCTTAGCCGTCCGGGAGCGACGAACGGTTCAAACTTTGCTTGTGGGGTGGAAAGTATAGAGGAGAATGCCACTGTTTGGGTAAGATTTTAGCATAACGACATTTGTCATATCATAGAAGGAAAGTTTGCGTGTATTTGCACTCTCTCTGTTATTTTTAAAATAAGAGAGAACTATACTTATTAAGACATAGGTTTAAATAAGTAATTTATTTTATGCATAAAAAATAAATTATTAATTTTGTCACATAACTCACTATGAAACGGTAACAACAATGAACTGCGGGCTGAACATTCCGAATCTCTAAAGCCGCGGGGAAGGGAATGTAACAGCGGGCGACGTTGTCGCGAAAGATTATTATTTCTGAGAAAGAATGAGATGAAGGAGCTTAATGGTTTACAACTGCAATATTTATTTAATTAATTATAAATTTCATGATTTTAAAATTATATTTGAACTCATTCGTCCTTGTAGTGTTGCGATAAAGTTTACTTTATTATTATTTTATTTGATATTGTAACAATTTAATTTTTTTAAGATGGGGTGCCAAATGCTAAGAAGTTGATTTCGACCGCAAAAAATCTAAAAACCAAGAAAACATAAATAGTGAATGTTTATATCACACCACATGCGTAAATCAATCTATATTTATCATATTAAACTTTTTTACTTATCACTAAATTATTCATTATATATGCACTCACATTTTCAATAATATTTTCAGTCTAACTACTTCAATGACATACCTATGCATATACGTTAAGTTTCATATTTATCATTCAATTCTAGTGCTAATCATCAAAAATATTTTTTTTCTTGATATTTTTTAAATATGGTTTGAGATATATTCTGTTAAGATAAAATTAAATTTAAATTTAAGACAAATAAAATTATGGCACCACTCAACATATATCCATCAGTGTCTTTATTTTTATGGTATCTATCTGTAGTTTCTTAAATACCCACAAAACTTGATAAAGATCTTTAGAGTGCATTAATAAAATAAGTAATATGGTGTATGGTTCTAGAGTGTAATAGTATCAGCTATCTAGTATAGGTAACTCAATCGTGAATTCAAAAGTGTGCGTGATGTCATCAAATAATATCTTCAAACCACATTTCTAATCATCAAATTTGTCCGCAAGATTGCAAGATGCTTACTGTACAGAGCAGAACACATAAAAATGGTAAATCATCAAACATTCAAACAACTTGTACACATCGAATTAATTTCTCAAAACAAGGTTTTTAATTTCGACTCTAGTTTTTCCCGGCAGGGGCTTGAAACTAGAAAATCCAGTTTCCGAAAAAACTCAGGAGTCCCAGATTTTTATCGGCCAAATTTTATAGCATCAAAATTATTACATTTAACCCATTTTATACAACAAGTGCTTTCTGTTCTAGTGGGTAGTAATAAGAGTAGTAACCATCAGGAGGTCATGAGTGTTGACACAAGATTTTGGCACGGTCAAGAAATTATTTAAGATGGCCTCAAATGGAGAAGTGATCTTACATGAAAGAGTTCCGTAGTGTTGATATGAACATCTTTGAAGTTTGGGTCATCGCCGTCCGATTTCATCTCGAAGGCGGAAACTATGCTCAAAGTACTAAGATCTTATATTCAGAGTACAGTTTGGCCGATTAAGCCCCAAGACGACCTTAAATGGAAAAATGATCTACATGAATTGTCTTCGTCTCGTCGAAACGATTGATTTTGATATAAAAATCGTTCAAATCCGAATTTGTATGCAAAAGTTAGAGCAATCGGAGTGCAGCCTTGTCACAAGGCGAGATGTGGCGCGCCCCACCACACACATGTCTGATGGGTAGCGCGAGGGAATAGCATGTTTTGCGCGACCAATTTTACCCTCAAGATGACCTCTGATCAAAATAACGTTCAACATGAAAGTTGTTCGTCTCGTCGAAACGGACAAGATTGCTTTTGGGCTCGTATCCATCCGAGATCGTTTACCACCACAAAAAAGAACCGCAAGGTGCAGCCAGTTTAAACCGAACAATTTTGGAAAGTTCGGACAAAACACAATCCGAATTTGACTAGGGTTTTGGACATGAATCCAAGCCTTTTCCTTGCACGGGAAGTCCAGCCGCCTCTTATATATCTAAGGGGTCACGGCCGATTGAACAACACACAATTGAACAATCAATCTACCACTTTTGTTCGTTTTATCTTTTCTCCTTAACCCTAGTTCTTCTTCTTCCTCGTTCTTCGTTTGTTCTTTTTGTTGCAGGGCGACGAACCTCGAGGCCCTAGGGGTGATCAGGTCGACCTAGGGCAGCCCATAGCCGTCGCGCGCCCTGACGGGTCCCTCCCGGGCGTGTGGGGTTTCGGGTGCTCAAAAGCACCCGCCGGATTGTCTTGCGTACCGCGCTTCCGGCGGGTCTCCTTCGACGTGAGCTGCGGTGCACCACCCCCGGCATCGAGGGTACACGGTGACGTGTTCGTGTGCGAACAACGAGCTTGGCTTGAGGGCACCGCACCATGACCAACATCATTTTTACTGAGCTTGAATAATGCAAGAAACTGAAGTTTAGAAGATTTTGAGTCGATCCAGCGACGTCCACATGATAGGTCGCGAACCTTACCACTAGCCAAAATAATTGGTTGCTGTAATTTATTTATATCAGCCTATTTGACCATTATTAAATAATTTGAACACAAAAACTTCTAAATTTCCGTGTCCAATATTGTTGAGGGTCACCAAAATTTTCAAGTGACCAGTTGGTTACCAGAAACTATGACCTATAAAAGTCCCGACACGACAACCCAATGCCCCGATCAACCCCAGGTTCCTATTTGTATGGAGCTTCGATAATTTAAGGATGTGAGGACACATTGTCTTGTCCTAAGTCAAAACTGTTTACTAGCTTGTTAATCAAAAATGGTTATGTTTCCTAACCATAGACATGTGTTGTCATTTGATGAACGGGATCACATCATCAGGAGAATGATGTGATGGACTTGACCCAACTGATAGCTTAGCATAATGATCGTTACAGTTTCATTGCTACTGCTTTCTTCATGACTTATACATGTTACTCAGACTATGAGATTATGCAACTCCCGAATACCGGAGGAACACCTTGTGTGCTTCAAATGTCACAACATAACTAGTGATTATAAAGATGATCGACAGGTGTCTCCGAAGGTGTTTGTTGGGTTGGCATAGATCGAGATTAGGATTTGTCACTCCGTGTTTCGGAGAGGTATCTCTGGGCCCTCTCGGCAATGCTCATCACTATAAGCCTTGCAGGCAATGTGACTAATGAGTTAGTTGCGGGATGAAGTATTACGAAACGAGTAAAGAGACTTGCTGGTAACGAGATTGAACTAGGTATGATGATACCGATGATCGAATCTCGGGCAAGTAACATAACGATGACAAAGGGAACAACGTATGTTGTTATGCGGTTTGACCGATAAAGATCTTCGTAGAATATGTAGGAACCAATATGAGCATCCAGGTTCCACTATTGGTTATTGACCGGAGACGTGTCTCGGTCATGTCTATATAGTTCTTGAACTCGTAGGGTCCGCACGCTTAACATTCGATGACGATTGGTATTATGAGTTTATGTGATTTGATGTACCGAAGGCTGTTTGGGGTCCCGGATGAGATCACGGACATGACGAGAAGTCTCAAAATGGTCGATACATAAAGATTGATATATTGGACCATGTTGTTCGGACACCGGAAGTGTTCCGGATAGTTTCCGATAAAACCGGAGTGCCGGAGGGTTACCGCCCCCCCCACGAAGTAATGGGCCTTAGCGGGCCTATAGGGGAGAGAGAGGGGGCCACAGCAGGAGGTGGCGCCCCCCCAAGGGGAGTCCGAATAGGACAAGGGGCGTGGGGCGTGGCCCCTCTTTCCCTCTCCCTCTCCTTCCTTCTCCTCCTAGTTAGATTAGGAAAGGGGGGAACCCACTCCTACTTGGAGTAGGACCCCCCCACCTTGGGCGCGCCCCTTGTGGCCGGTCGCCCCCCCTCTCCTCCTTTATATACGAGGGAGGGGGGCACCCCATAGACACACAAGTTGATCTTTAGCAGTGTGTGGTGCCCCCTTCATAGTTTTCCACCTCGGTCATATCGTCGTAGTGCTTAGGTGAAGCCTTGCGCCGGTAACTTCATCATCACCGTCACCACGCCGTCATGCTGACGGAACTCCCCCTCGGCCTCAGCTGGATCTAGAGTTCGAGAGACGTCACCGAGCTGAACGTGTGCAGATCGCGGAGGTGCCGTGTTTCGGTACTTGATCGGTTGGATCGCGAAGACGTTCGACTACATCAACCGCGTTACTTAATGCTTCCTCTTTCGGTCTACGAGGGTACATGGACACACTCTCCCCTCTCATTGCTATGCATCACCTAGATAGATCTATCGTGATCGTAGGTAAATTTTTGAAATTACTGCGTTCCCCAACCGTGGCATCCGAGCCAGGTTTATGCATAGATGTTATACGCATGAGTAGAACA